TTGCACTAACAACATGGCAGAGTATGAAGCTTGCGTTTTAGGCTGCTATTGGACAAAATATAAAGATTTTACGGGTGTATGGAGAATCTGCCTTAGTAATCTATCAACTCCGAGGAGAGTGGGAGACAAAAGATGTCAAGCTGGTGGACTACAGAAAACTCATATTAGATTTACTCGAAAAGTTTGACGAAGTCACTTTCCATTACAGTCCTGGAGAGGAAAACCAAATGGTCGATGCCTTAGCTACATTGGCAGCAAAATTCAAGGCTGGTAGGGAATCTGACATGATGCCAATCGATATTCAGTCATATGAGTACCCGACTCATTGCTACCAAATCGAAGAGGTAAAAGACACCAAACCTTGGTACCATGACATTCTGCAATACATTAAAAATCAAGGTTATCCAGAAGAAGTCACTGAAACTGACAAAAAGAACAATAAGAAGGATGACGGCTGGATATGTTCTTGGTGGGGAAATCTTATACAAGAAAAGCCATGATCAAGTCTTGTTAAGATGTGTATATACAGAAAAAGCAAAGATGATTTTGGAGGAGGTACATGACGGAGTTTGTGAAACTCATGCAAACGAACATATGATGGCAAGACAAGTTATGCGATGTGAATATTTTTGGTTCACATTAGAGAGCGATTGCATTAGCTACGCCAAACGATGTCACAAGTGCGAAGTTTATGGGGATAAGATGTCCCGCCTCGTCGTCTTCATGTGATGACAGCTCCGTGGCTCTTTTTTATGTGGGGCATGGATGTTATTGGACAAATCCATCCAAAAGCTTGTGTTGAGAGGTTTTTTTTAAGAGGGGGAGTGTTTTTTTGGGTAGTTGGGTTAAAATGATTTTTGTTTTAGTTTTAAGAGCTATTTATAGAGAAGGAGTTAGTTTAATTACGAAATTCTTAAATTATTTCTAAAGTCCTTGCAGTTTTGATGCGTAATTCATTTTGATCACATGTTGTGAATTTACCCTTGAATTTTAAATTTATTTAATTTAATCCCTGTTTAAATTTCTTATATTTCGTAATTTAGTCCCCTTACATTTTGTTTTTTCTCTTGCAGCTCTTTTTTAGCTTTAATTTGATCCATAAATTTTAATTTGTTCCAATTTGATTCTTTAACATTTTCTTATTTTTTAAATTTTTTTTGTTATTTTTATTTCTTCTAAAATTTATCATTTTCTTCATTTTCATTTATTTCTCTTTTAATATTATTTTACTTTATTATTCTTTTCATCTTAACTTCATTTTTTATTATTTTTTCTCAATGTAACTTTTTTTTAAAATTTCTCTTTGGCTTATTTAACATTTATTTATTTTATTTTACGATTTAACACTTTTTGACTCTTTTTTAGGGGAATTTTAATTGATTAAAGGTAAATAATTTATTGAATTTTAAATTTTAATTTAACTTTAAATTTTCATAATTAAGACAATAGAGAAAATTAAATTGGTACCCAAAAAGCAGTACATGAGTTTTAACTCTTCCTTAATTGTAATAGACTCTCGAATCCGATATATTTCTGGTAAAATGTGAATCAAGTAAGACGATAAATTAAAATATCCGATCAACTAAATTTTAAATGATCAAAAGGGCGGTTACAAAAAATTGCAAGTTGCAACCTCCAGAAATACCAAAGTGAACTAGCATAAGCATTGAAAGTTTAAAATAATTTCTAAAAATGAACTAAACTTGATTTATCTGAACATAAACTTGGAATCAAAACAAACTAATTTTTTTCCACTTCAATAGCAGTTTCGATCTCAATAAGACTAAAATCAACCAAAGTAGAGGAAGTTACCGTCTTCGTCCTCCTCTTCTTGCTCTTCCTAATCGCTACCCACCTGTGCTTCAAGATAAAAAAACTGAGAGCCAAAACGCGGAGCCTTGTTATGCTTTTTGCCGCCGCCTCCGTAAATGTCATCATCTTCGTCTTCATCCTCATCGTCGTCGTCCTCCGCCAAGTCATCAATGAAATCAGATCTGCGTCGCTTCTTACTGGAACCAGTTTGACCTCTCCCTAGGTCTTCATCCTCGTCGTCCATCAACTGCTCCTCCTCATCTTCCTACTCCTCGTCATCAACATCATCATCTTCCTCGTCTCTTCGTCTAGCCATCGTAGTTAACTCAATCAGAGCTCTGAGGTTTCCTTTTGTTGATGACTTAAAAGTTCTGAAATGTTGAAGGAAGGGAGAAATGGAACCCTAGTTATGGAGGGGTAAGCTTATTATTCTTTGTTCATTTCATAAATATTTTAAATTAATTAGAAACGGTAAACTTGTTATAGTTTTATTTTTCGTTTTTTTACAGAGAAACGGGAAGGAGACAGGTTTTTCCTTTGGCCCTAACAAGAGATATATATTTTATTTTTATTTTTTTAAAATAAATATAAATTCATGTAATATATAAATTATATTTAAATTATATTGATCAAAGTCGAATTATACAAGAGAATAACATTGTCTTCGATTATTTTTTTGGTACAAAAATGAGGTGGAAAAAACGTTGACGTGTTCCCATGCAATCTTAGGGATTCTATACCCCTCTTATCTGCCTCAAGTAAATGAAGAATACCATCGGACGGTTCTGATAAGATTTGATCTCCCTTCCTTTGCTTAGACTCGATTTTGCAAGCCAATCGGCATTCTTGTTACCTTCTCTCCAGATGTGTTTGGCGCTCTCTATCTCTAAATCTTATAAAAGATCTATACATTCTTTCACTAGTATTTGTATTTCCTGATCAACTGAATCATCACCGTTGAACAAATCAGTTGCCTCCCTTACATCTGATTCAACAATTAAATTACTCAAATCAAGGATTTTTGCTAAAGTGAGACCTTTCTTTAATCCCCATAGTTCGGCCGTATGTTTTGAAAAAAATATTTTTAACCGTATTTTATGACAATTTTATCATTTTTCAATCAATAAAAAATTCTACTCCTTTACTATTCAATCAATCTTATTTTACTAAATAATCTTTAATATAACCTATTTTCTTAATTTATTATTTCAATCATTTATTCTAGTTTGGCCGTATGTTTTGAAATATTAATATCTTGGGTAAACTACACATTTAATGCCTAAACTATTAATTTTGATTTGTTTTAGTACTTAAACTTTCATTTTTTCAAAATCATACATAACGTTTAGTTTTTATTTCATTTTAGCACCCCACCATTAAAAACATAACGTGTTTAGTACCTAAACTATCAGTTTTGACCCGTTTAGTACCTGAACTTTCAATTTTTTTAGAACTTAATGTAAATTTTGAACATGGGTACTAAAATGAAACAAAAATGAAACTTTAGGTGTGATTTTCAAAAAGTTGCAAGTTTAGGTGCTAAAACGAAACAATACTGATAATTTAAATACTAAGAGTGTAATTTACCCTAATATATTTTTTCCATTAAACAAGCTAAAAATTACAACAAAAAAAGACACTACAGCAAAAGTGTTATATAGCGGCGTTTCTAGCAACGTTTTAAGGGAAAACGCCATAAAATTTAAGCATGTAGCAGCGTTTACAATACAAACGCCACAAAATGATACTTTAGCGGCGTTTTTCAAACAAACGCCGCAATAGAGTGGTAATTTAGCAGCGTTTATAGCTTAAACGACGCAATAGAGTTGTGTTTATAGTGGCGTTTTTTCAACAAAAGACGCAATAGAGTTGTAATTTAGCGGCGTTTTTATACAAACGCCGTGATAGCATTGTTTTTAGAGTCATTTGTTCAACAAACGACGCTATTGAGAAGTAATTTAGCGGTGTTTATTAAACAAATGTCGCAAAAGGTTTGTTTATAGTGGCGTTTTTGCAAAAAACGCCGCAATAGAGTAATAATTTAGCGGTGTTTGTCCCACAAACGCCGCAATATGTTGTTTATCGTGTCATTTTTATAAAAACGTACTATAGTGGCGTTTGTTTTTTATTAAACGCCGCAAAATACTAAAAAATACTCTTAATTTAGTGGCTTTTGTGCGAAAATGCCGCAATAGCCTTGTACTTATTTGGCGTTTGTGATCAAACGCCGCAATATCCATGTACTTTAGTGGTGTTTGTAGAAAAATGCCGTAATATCCATGATCTTTAGCGGCATTTATAAAAAAACACCGCAATAGTTTTGTCATTTAATGGCGTTTCTTTAATAAACGCCGCAGTAGTTTTGTCCTTTAGGGGCATTTTTTGTAATAATTTCATTAATCTCTGGCATTTTGTGGCGTTTGAATTTAAAAATGCCGCTAAAGTGATCTATTAACTCCTGCAATACCATTTCCCCCCTTTCACAGACATTTACGATCGAAAACAAATGCTGGCCGTTTCCATTCAAAGTCGTCATCACCTATACTAGTTCTCTGAATCTTCTAGTTCCCCTAAACATAAAACCCCAGTCGATTAGTTTCTATAAAAGCCTAGCACGAGAGAAACCCTAGTTCTCTGATTATCTTGCAGAAGAATTAGGAGTATTTTGAAACCCTAGCTCAGAAGAATAGGAGGGAAATTGAAACATCAAAAGGATATTGGATATCGTCCAGGTTAGTATTTTGTATGATGGACACTCGTATATTGAATCATGTTTCTTCTTCTTCTTTTAATTATGTTAAATCATGTAAATTGTTTCATCTTGGTAGTTTAAATATCAAGTTTCGCGCCTCCTCCACCAAAAGAAGGCAATTGTTTGGTTGTTTTTTATTTCTTTATCCTTCTCCGGCGCAAGAATCAAAGGATACCTTTATTTTCTTCTTAAGTATTGTCTCCCCAGTTTTAGTTACCATTTATGATTCTATTTTTTTTTTGTTATTAAAAAGACTATTTTGTGAAGCCATAAATTAAGGAACTTCCATTAATTGATTTGGTGATTCGTGTTTTTAGTTTCCCAAGCACGTTTGGAAATTTGGGGTTTCTATTCTTTTGCCAAATTTCATTGAATGAAAGATTTAATGAAGAGAAATTGAATTTTCTTTTCATCGAAAACTATTTATTTTGTTCCGGGAAAATGAAATATTGCATTTAAAAAAAAATGTTGGGCAGCTTCATTAACAGAGTGCTTGTGTAAGTAATTTACTATGCATTTCCATTTTTGTTGTTTTGCATTAATATTCTTTGGTTGTTCAATTATAACGGGTAATTTGAATTTTCTGGAATTTCAAATTTGTTACTATCTGTTCTGTCTTCTGATGATTGCAGGTTGCTTCTTGGATATGCGTATCCTGCATTTGAGTTCTTTAAAACGATGGAGAAGAACAAAGTTGGGATCGAGGAACTCAGATTTTGGTGTCAATATTGGTAATCAATCTCTTATGTATTGCCTTCTACTATTTTTCCCATTATACATACGACGTTGAGGAGGATTAGGGTGGTGGATCGATTATATATTTTTTATCATAGGGTTATTATTCTCTTCATCCTCTCTTAATTTCATGAAATTCATTATACTATCATTTTTAAGAACTTAAATAACTAAAGAGTCACTTTGATATTACTTATCGTGGTGCTATTACTCTTTTCTTGAAAGAAATATTTGATAGAACAAACAGTACTACCACTTATAAACTTAAAATTTCTTCTTTTTTAATATAAGATTAAGTCTTTATCTCTTTAAAACGTGACATTATATTCCATTAAGCAATAATCGATTAATTTAACCAATTATGGCTTGTGCATTTGTTTGGCTTTATGTTAAATGTAAAAGTTATGCATACAATGTGTTTTCACAGGATCCTTATGGCATTTCTGATAGTATTCGAGTGGAGTGGGGAAGCATTTATTTTATGGTATATTCACACCTCTTAACTTTCATATAGCTTAATTTGTGATTTGTACTAGTGTATGTGAACATTAATTTTGTTTTGAGGTAAAGTTGAAACCTTATTTGGGATGTATGATTAGTTTTGCACATTTGATACCTTGGTAGTACTTAAGTGACTTATACAAACCTATGTTCAATGTTAGTTTATGATTTGATCATCAATAACAGTACGTTAAAGTTCAAACTTATGTTCCTGTTTGGCTACAACGTATGATTATCCCTTCTCATTTTATTATTTCTATTTCTGTCTATAATTTCAGCTCATTTGCACTGTCACTCCAACATCAAGTAACTATAAGAGACACAATACACTAAAGTTTGCTCACGTGCTAAAACACAAAAATCCAAGCGGCAGAAAACAAGGTATGCTTGTATTTTAGATTTTTAATACTTTGTTGTTGTTTCCAGTTGCATGAGTGTATGTTCTTTGTATGTGAAGCACATGCTAGAAATACAAACATGTATACGCGTGCACATGCTAGAAATTATTTCCGTATTGGCTACTGAACCTTTGTTAGTCCACATTAGAGACTCCACAGTTGTTTAAAACCCTATTTGACATCTAAAAAAGAAGTTGTTAAATAAATATATTTAAAAGTCTAGCAATTATCGACAAATAAGGCAATTCAATTAATCAAAATTTCCTCTCATTTAATGGATTAAATGTAGACCATTGTCAAACATTTAGAATTTAGGTTTGGCTCATTCTTTACTGTGACTTTGTGGGACCGGTGGTGGATGATGGATGTGAGGCTGATTAGTTCCGAAAAAAAAGCATTTGTGAAACCGTTCGTGTTTATTCAAGTTTACCTATCTCGGAATTAGGAGGATGTAGGAGTTATCAAAGGTTTGAACTTCAAATTAGGTTTTAATTGAGAATTAAGTCTTTTATCATTGTACTGGTGATTAATTTTTAATATATATATATATATATATATATATATATATTATTCAAAAATCTCAATGGATTAAATGTAACATTTGAATTTGAAACTCCAGAAATACGAAATGGATAAGAGTTAGATGGATTTTTCAAGGGTAAGCGTCGAATATCGAAATGGAATCAAATTTTTTCTAAATTTAGCTTTTCTGAATGCAAGCCAAGAGAATATGATTCTTTGCCCTTGTAAGAACTGTGTTAACATTATCTGACACATTCGTGAAGTTGTGTACAAGCATCTAGTTATTTTTGGATTTGTTCGGGGGTATAGAAAATGGATCTTTCATGGAGATTTTGTATCAGATAGATCTGCTTCCACGAGTTATTCGACTTATCCTGCTCCTTCTCACCATCCAACTTTTAGAGAAGATGACATGGAAGAGATGTTACGAGATGCATTTAATATGCACACTCATTAGCCGTATGTTACAAAAAATTATTGTCAGAATGATGTTAATGATTTCATTGAGATGGGAAGAATTGGAAGTGCTGAAGAGCCAAATGGAGAAGCGGCAAAGTTTTACAAGTTGCTGAATGAAATGAATGAACAACTTTATAAGGGATCAAAGTTTTCAAAGCTTTCTTTCTGCATTCTTCTTTTCCACTTAAAATGCCTGGGAGGGTGGACTGGTAACTCCTTTACGCAATTGTTGGAGTTACTAGGAGAAGTGTTTCCTTTTGCAAAAATCCCTCAATCATGCAAAGATATGAAGAAAATAATAAAAGATTTGGGTCTTGGATATGATAAAATTCACAATTGTCCGAATGATTGTATGTTGTATTGAGGAGATCAAAAAAATCAGGACTCTTGCCATGTATGTGATAAATATTGATGGATGATTAGGGAGGTAGAAAATGTTACTGAGGTTAAAGCTCAAGCACGATAAAGAAAGAAACCGATTAAGATTCTGCGATATTTTCCTCTCATACCTAGGCTACAAAGATTGTTTATGTCCTCCAAGACTGCTGAGTCTATGAGGTGGCATCATGATGGCAGAACCAATGATGGATTATTACGGCATCCAACGGATTCTTTAGCTTGGAAGTCATTTGATAACAAGTATCCAAGTTTTGCGAGAGATCCTCGAAATGTCAGGCTCGGTCTTACAACTGATGGGTTTAATCCATTCAAAATCATGAGTACTTCGTATAGTACTTGGCCTGTTGTATTTGTTCCATACAATTTGCCTCCCTGGATTTGCATGAAACAATCATCTTTCATCTTATCCATGATAATCCCCGGCGAGAAAGGCCCCATAAATGATATTAATATTTACATGCAGCCTCTAATTGCAGAGTTGAAACAGTTATGGGAAGGGGTCGAAATGTATGATGTGTTAACGAAGGAGAACTTTAATTTACGTGCGACTTTATTATGGACAATTAATGATTTTCCTGCGTATGCAAATTTATCGGGTTGGAGTACCAAAGGTCGTTAGGCTTGTCCTTGTTGTGCTGTAGAAACATGTTCGAAGTGGTTGGTTAATGGAAAGAAGTTCTCTTATATGGGACATCGTCGGTGGTTACCTGATAATCATAGATTTAGAAGTCAAATGAATATGTTTGATGGTGATGAAGAGTTTTAAAATGCTCCTGACCAAACAACCGGCTCTCAAATATTCAGAATGTTGAAAAATATCAATTTTACTTATGGAAAGATGAATCAACCAAGTAGTGCACAATCAAAGAAAAAGGCAAAGCAAGTCAATGAAGAGGTTGAAGTTGACGAACAAACTGATGATGAGTCTGTTGAAGAGGATGATCCAAACGAGGTAGACTTGTGGAAAAAGAGGAGTATATTTTTCGAGTTGCCATATTGGAAAAAGTAGATTTTGAGACATAATCTTGATGTAATGCATATTGAGAAGAATGTTTGTGAGAATATTATCGGGACCATTCTGAATGATGGCAGAAAATCTAAAGATAATCTTAAGAGTCGACTTGACTTAGTGGACATGGGAATTCGGCATGATCTTCATCCACAATTACGTCCAAAAGGAAGAAATTTCTTGCCGCCTTCTATTTTTTCTCTTTCGAAGAAAGAAAAATAAATGTTTTGCACGGTGTTGAAGGATATAAAAGTCCCAGATGGGTATGCATCAAACATTTCTCGATGTGTCAGTGTTAAAGATCGAAGACTTTATGGTTTAAAATCACATGATTATCACATATTAATGCAAGATTTACTGCCAGTAGCTGTTCGCGGTTGCATGTCGAGTAAGGTGACGTCTTGTATCATTGAACTTTCAAATATAATGAAAGCTATCTGTGGGAAAGTTCTAATGGTTGAAGAACTTGATAAACTACAAGATCGAGTCACCATGACTTTATGCAACTTGGAGAAGATATTTCCACCTTCATTCTTCACAATTATGGTGCATCTGCTAATTCATCTTCCTCACGAAGCAAGAGTTGGTGGTCCAGTTTTCTATCGATGGATGTACCCTATAGAGAGGTGTTATTTGAATTACACGTTTCAAATTACTACTGAATATACCTCTCACTCAAATGTATTTACGTAATATGTTGTTTTGTGTATAGGTTCTTGGGCAAGTTGAAGTCTTATTGTCGTAATAATCGTTATCCGGAAGGATCAATTGCTGAAGGGTATTTGGCAGAGGAATATATGACATTTTGCTCTAGATATTTGGAAGATGTTGAAACAAGATGGAATAGACCAAATCGAAATGATGTGTTAAGTACTGATGACATACCTCAATATTATTTCTTTGGAAGTTATGGTCAACCATTAGGGAAAGTTGAAATTGCACACTTAGATGACACGTCTTGGGTACAAGCACACAAATATGTTCTTTTCCATCACGATTCAATAGATCCCTTTCGCATGTAAGTCTTTCGGACCCAATCCTAATGAAATCTCTTTATCTTTTATATTTATCAATTTTTAACGACATAATATTCTTTATAGTGAGTTTAAAGAAGTATTGAGATCTCGAGCACGCTCCCGAAGATTAAATCAGCGAGAGCTACATAAGTTATTCACAGAAACTTTTCATGAATGGTTAGGCCAGACGGTAAGAAACCAAATCTTACGGAACACTTATAAATTATATATGTCTTGCTTTTTATATTGATGTCAATACAAATTAATTCACCATTCATGTGTAATAGGTTTGGAGTGGGAGAGAAGTTAGTGAAGAAGTTAAATGGCTTTCTCAATGTCCGAATAGAATAGTTAAAAGATATAATGCCTTCCTCATTAATGGGTTCAGGTTCCACATGAAATCTTGTGAAAGATTAAGAAGGACACAAAATTGTGGAGTAGTAGTTACTTCGTCAACTACAAGTTATGCTACTGTAAGGGACAATAATCCGCAGGAGGGAGAGGTCGATTATTATGGAAATCTTACGGACATTATTGAGTTAGATTATTATGGAAAATGAAAGGTTGTGTTGTTTCGGTGTGACTGGGTTGATGTAAATAGATGTATAAAAAGAGATAAATTCGGGTTTACAATGGTGAATTTCTCTCGATTAATTCACATGGGTCAACGTTTGATGGATGAACCATATGTATTTTCTTCTCAAGTGAAACAAGTATTTTATTGTCACGATCCAATGGATGATGGTTGGTATGTTGTGCTTCGAAATACTCCCAGAGACTTGATAGACATCCGGGATGGAAGTAGAGACGACATTGAAGCAAGATCAGAAAGTTTACCTCTACTACAACAAAACTTAGATGAAACTATCAGTAATACAACACAATTTCAATGGGTTCGGGAGGACGTTGATAAAGATATTTATGACAACTGACATTATATAAGACTTTTGTACGATTTTATATCTTAATTTATTTATTTATAATGTTATAACCTTTTACATGTTGTCTTTCAATATATTCATTAATTAATTCATTTTTTATTACTCATGTTTGTTTATTATAGATATCATGCCGAGGAGAAAAATAAATGATTTGCGGGTTGTTCGAGCTTCTGATGGCCATGAAGAAAGAAATAACGAGGAATCAAATACACCTGAG